TCAGCGCTTGCAGGTGGCAGCTGGGAGCTGCAGGGAGGCTGCGAGGGGGCTGAGCGCTCGGCCGGGGAAGTGGGGAGGTTATCTCCTGCCCGCAGCCGGGGTTGCTGCGCGAGCGCCGCCAGGCCCCGTGCCGATGGTCGGTTCCTGCTCCACTGCGCTGGCGACAGATGTGCACACGTGGGCACGTCACACGTGGCCGGGACCCCCATTCCCTGGGGAGATGTCGCATGTCCCCCACTCTTGTGCTGGAGAGGGCTGCCCCGAGGCTACAGGGATGGGCACAGCCGCCACGATTCACTGGGGGAATCAGGGAGGCGGAAGGCGGGAGGAAGAGATTTGAAATCATTTCTGTCATTGCCTGCTCACCGAGGCGAGTATTTCTGTCTCCACCCCTACAACTGCAGTGGGGAAACGCAGCCGCTAGATTTGCCAGGGCACCAGGGGATGTTTCCTTCCCCAAGGGACCAGGACACACCTCCCAGCAGAGACACCCCGAGGAGCATCGCGTACACCCCAGGCCACAGGGACGTCATGCTGGGCTGGGACCAGAGATGCGCAGTGTACACCAGGCTGCACCATGGTGCAGTGCCCCATGCCCACCCCAACCCTGGACCAGGAGCCCTGGGACTCCCCACCACCACGCCATGCTGGCAGTAACCCCACACCCATCTCTCCTCTCTCCTTGCCAGAGTTTTTCAAGTTCAAAGGCTTCGGGAGCCTGAGCAACATCCCCCGCTCCTTCACCCTCCGGCGCGTGTCTGTGGCCCCCAGCTCTTCCAAGAACCTGGGGCCAGGTCTCCCTCCTCCCCATGGCTTCCTGGAGGAGCCCTTCGACAGCACCCAGGACGATCTCAACACCATGCCCAAGAGCCCTGGCCCCTATGCCCGGTCGTCAGACATGTACAGCCACATGGGCACCATGCCCAGGCTGAACCTGGGCAAGGCAGGGAAGAGCCTGGGCAAAGCCAAGAGTAGCCAGAGCTGCCAGGAGAAAGGGTTCCCCAGCGACAAAACCCCCTGGACAGCCCCGGTCCCCAACCCTGAGTCCCCTGAGATGTCCAGCACCCCTGGCCCGGGCACAGACTCACCCTCAGCCGCTGGGCAAGCAGAGCAGGAGGAGGAAGAGGCTCCCCCCATGGACACCCCAGGAGCAGCGATAGCCAGGACGGACCAGGAGCCTGCAGGGAATGTTTCCTGCCTCGGGACAGAGGCACCGAGCTCCAGCCTGGCCCTGAACCCCAGCCAAACCCTGAGTCCCGACGCAGCAGCGGGAGCGGGGACCACCAACAGAGATCTGCCAGAAAAGGGGCAAGAGCATCCCGGCGAGAGCTTCCCGGACAGGTACAGCCCCGTTGGGTTTGCTTTGCCTTCCGCTGGGACCCCCTTTCTGCCCCACCAGGGCAAGGGGAGGGGGCTGGGACACAGTGGGGTCCCTGCAGTGCCCCCACCTCGCCCTCAGTGCCAGCGGGATGCACCTGGCCGGCAGGACAGCACGCCGGAGCGCTCCGTACCATGGCCAGGTCAGCGGCTCCATGGGAGCGAGGTTTCCTGTGGGATTTCTGTTCCCTCCTGTTTCCGGACGGGGTGGAAACATCTCGCTGCCCTGCTCAGCCCCCAGCGTCCCTTTGTCCTGCCGGCGGCTCTGTTCCAGCACCGGAACGTGCTGCAGAGGGCTCAGACCTGCACTGTCCCGGCCCCCTCCACCTCTCACTCTCCTCTTTTCCACCCCCTCCATCCCTCTCCCCCTCCCCCCATCATAGTTCTTCTATATTTACAAATCCCATTTCATTACTGTGATTTTGAAGTGCCTCCATTGAAAAGCTTTTGCTTTTGACCAACATACTTGTGAAGCACATGACATGAGGCACAACCCCCCCCCTCCGGGGGAATTTGGGGGCTCAGTCCTCTCAGATGAGGGCTGGATTTTCTGAAAGGCTTTGAAATCAGAATCAACAAGAGGGATTTTTAACTCCCTGCCCATCACCTGGGTGTCTGGGCACGAGGGGCCAAATGCGTCCCCAGCCCAGCAGCGTGCATGGGACTAGGGGCACGGGCGGAGGTGCCAACTCCAAATTTCACCCCAAAACAAGGTCCCATCGTACCAGCCCTCCCCTGGCTTCACTCTCCTCTCTCCACACTCGGGTGGCCCCTGACGCCCCTGTTCCCCTCGTGTCATCCCTGGGGCCGGGGGCTCCCCGCCCCGGCGCTGAGCATTCGGGAGGTCTGGGTGGCCCCAGGAGCGGGGTGAGGAGGGGGAATTTGTGCCAGCGGTGGGAGCC